GATCATTTCATCAGACAATCAGGGCTAGCAATTATGGTAACTGTATAACATTTAGATCACATTCAAATTCAGAATATCAACTGTTGGAAAACTTAAGCAGAGAGTACTAATGTATTTCATATCCACTTGTAGGTTTTCCAAGGCATTTGTTTGGCCATCATGAAAATTAAATATCATATTGAAAAAGGTTGCTATTTTTTGTTCTTACACCTCACTTGATAACTTCTTTACAGTGACATATGCACCACAAGGTGAAAGCAACAGGGAAGAAGGCATGTTGCAGTGCTAAACATTGCAAAAGGTAACCAACCATACAGAGTATAAGTAAAAATACAGAAGCCCAAAAGAAAAATGCATCCAATCAGAATGGTGGTGGCTCATATCTAATAATCTGTATACAGTCTGCAAAGCAGGTTTATATATTTATGCACATAATTTCTTTCTGTAAAGCTATTCATTCCCAATCCCAAATTAACCCAAATATGTGGGTATCACTGCTGCAAATGGTTTCCAAAACTTTCAGCAGGAGTCATCTTTTCATAACATTTTTTAAAGTCTATGTAATATAACAAAAAAAAAAACAAAGATTCACCAACCTCCTGCAAGAATCCAAATTAAGGTATTGCTACAAACACTATCCAATTTTGGTTTAACTACTTCTAGTGAAAAGTACTCCACTATCTAACAAATTGGTTCTAATTGTTACACTTCTTTTCTTAATATTCCGTTGGAATCTGCCTATTCCAATTTGCCTGAATCTTTTTTGTAAAGCATGGTGTCAAGAACTGAATAATCAAGTTGACCAATATAGGATGTAACAGTCCAGCAAATACTTATTCCAGCATATTTATTTCTCTACAACAATGCATAGCAGAGTCAAACATTAGCAGTCTCAGAAAATTAGGATAATTATCCCACCATGTATATATCTATAGCAAATTATCCCACCATGACCATATTTATAGCAAACATGGAGGGTGTATGTGTGTTGAAAACTCAGGTGTTGGTGACCTCTTCCTTTTTAATTTAGTATCAATGGCCTAGACTTTAAAACAGGTTTTAATATCCAGTAGATGCCTTTTATCGGAACTATACATATAAATATAATGACCAACCTAGCAAATAGAAATGCTTCAGCAACTATATTTTCTAATCTTCTGTCTTAGTGAACAACAGTTCCTACTATGGGTCACTACAGCTATGCTGTAGTTATTTCTGATCTAACCTGAGCTTTGTCAAGTTGAAGAATGCTAGTCTACATTTTTTCAATAAAGGTAATAATAATATAGCAATACTTCTGTCTACTTAATCTAAAAAAATGGATCATTCAATAATCTAATGTATAGATTAAAGGCTCTTTCGCCTTTTTTGCTTTGAAATCAAGAATGTGAAAACCAGCCTTAATTGCTTAAGGAGAGATGGAGCTGAGTTTTGTCCTATTTAGAGGTACATGGAAAGCATTTGAAGCTTCTGGATCACATTAGCCATTCTTTTTAGGGAGGAAGAGGAATCTTGTTTTCCTCCTATGAATTTCTCTTTTAATCAAATAAAATATATTTGATTGTTTGAGTTTATTTGACATTTTTGGGAAATTTGAGAGCATTTTTGGTTAAGAATCACAGGAACCAAATAGTCAGCAATGGGGTACAGCTATCTAAACAAAGAGAGGGATTTGCACAAAACACTTTTAATCTTTGCTTTTAAAAGCAAAAACCCTGCAGAATAATACATGTGTCTCAGACCATAATTTAGACATAGAATTCTGCACATGATGTTGTACATGCCTGCTTGCTTCTTTGACCTTCTTTAAAAGTATGTGGCTTCCAGAGCCTTAAGTCTCCCCTGAACTGTATTCAACATCTTATAGACCAGGACACATTGATATATGCTTCTTGGCAGCAGTAAAGATGTGGTTCTCATTCTTCTGGGAGATCTTTCTTTAAATCTTTCCAGTCTAACCTGGAATTTCTTGGTGGTCTTTGCCAAATACTGTGTTTGACCCTGTGTAGTTTTTTAAAGATTAGGAAAAGTCAATAAGTGCTGCTGCCATCCACAGTTTGCAGTATTTAAGATGTATAAAAGATACCATGACATATTATGAAATTGTAGATATATCAATTGTGTGGGTCCTATTTCCAGGTCTTCTTCATATAAGAATAAGGCAGTACAATGATGCAGTTCAACAACATTTATCATACCAGAGTATAACCAGATATACTCTTCCCCATGTCAAAAAGTATACAAAAAGAAAACTAATTTACTAGGGTTGTTTCTCATATGTTTTTTTCTTTGCTTAGGCAGTTCATGTTTAAAAGAAGTTGGGCATTTGAAAGAGTCTTCTATATTGTTCTTGTGATTCAGCCATCTTATATTACTATTTTCACACTGTGTTACATCACAGTAGAGTACTTAATTGTAATAATTACAGATTATTCAACAACTGCAGTTTAAAAATCAGGTTTTAGAACATACTGTAGCTGTGTTTAGTTCAGACACAGTAGAGGTTTTGAAACTTCACTACCTATATCCATAATGATATTGCAAATCAGTGCATAGGTAGATGATACTGGAAAGATGGGATGAAAGCAATAACTGAAAGGAACAAGGAGGTGCATGAAAATATGGGTGAAGAAAATAAAACCTATGCATTTCCAATTATTCATAGCTTCTGACTCTAACTCTTGCTTTATTAAAGCAAAATTGGAAAAGTTTAGAGTCAATCAATAAACATGACATGGCTATACAAAGAGTGATTATTCTAAGTTCTGTATATAGATTTCAGCACATGAAGCAATAAAAGTGGATTAAAAATCAAATACCTGAAATACTCGACTTTGAAAATATTGGCAAACTTAGAGAAACGTAAAACAATACTGATAAGCAGAACTGAAATAAATACTGAATGCAACTTTCATGTTAACATCTATAACCCTGTTCATTAATATTAGACTATATTTGTTTTCACAATAAGAGGATTTCTACTATTACATTGAAATGCAATATCTAATTGTACATTTATCTTTACTAATCCATAGCTCTGTCCTTTAAATTAAAAGGAAAACTTCCTCAAGAGAGTAAAGGAAGTACAACAGACATTATGCAAAACAAGCCAGTGTCAACTTTTCAGCCAAGTACAGGCACAACCAAATTAGGAAAACTTAAGAAAGAATTCCCACCTCTTCCATCACAACTGCTCTGATACCATTTCTATGACTGATCTCCAGAAAAACTTCAGCATAGATCTTAGCCACATAACTGCTTTTCCCTTTACAGAAGTACTCAAAGTTATCCAGGTAGACTTTCAAACAGCCATAGCCATACAGTACAATGGTATTGGCCAAATTATAATATCATACACTAAGATTTCCAATTCTTGGTGCTCAGGCTCAAAATCTTATTCTAGTACTATTTTTACAGTGCACTGTGAAAACACTGACATTTACAAATAGTGGAGCAACAAGATATCAATAGGTTTATTATTGCTCTTCTCCTTGATCAAGGCCCAATGCTTGAAGCAGCAGACATACAATTCAGCAAGGATACAACTGTGAGATCTGTGAGACAAGACAATGATAACCTTGTTCAACAAGGACAGCAAAAACAACAAACCCACAAGCCTTTGTTGATATATGTTATCTATAAATTCATCTGCAATAGTAATCCACACCTCTGTGCCTTACTTACATATAAATATACATGGTATATGTTTTTAAAAAGTTCTATATAAATATTGATTTCAGATTTTAATTTCAGATATCCAAACTACCAAGCAAGTGATGCTGTTATAGAAAGATGCTCAAAATATAAAAGGTTACAGCTTTTGTATTGCTCTGTAGGAAATGTTTCAAAGACTTGATCTCATTTTAAAAACTGGTTTGTGTACTTACGGCATTTTCATCACGCATTTACTCAACTTGCATTTCATATTAAGGTTTGTTTAAATATAATTGTACATCAACTTGGTTGAGACTGGGATTCTTCTAGGCCTCAATTTTAATGAATATCATGAATCAGTCTTCCCAGGTAGATGGCCTACAATGCGTCACAATACATTCCTTTTCTGCAGGGTATTGGGCTGAATAAATCGACCCTAAATACTGCATTTCACTATGACCAAATAACTAAAATGTTTAATCCCCTGCTAAATCACCATATGCAGGTAATTTGCAAATTAAGGAAGGTTTTGTTATTCTCTAGTTAAATCTATGACTTGGGAAGGGATGTGTAGCAAAGGGGAAGTCGAGAAAATCCAATCAGTGAAACAAATACCCAAGTAAACAATGCTGACCTGTGCATCTGGGTAACATCTGACTGCGGGCAAGAAAGCAGCTTCTTGTACAACGCAATTATCCTGAATTTGAAGAGTAAAGAAGGTCTTCTCTACAGCCTTGCCCTCTCAACCGAATTTGAACTTCTACGGAAACAAACAGCCGGGCGGCAGTTGTACCTGCTCTCCGCTACTTTGAAAGATTGGAGGATGTTTACATGCAGAAGTAAATAATCGACAAGTGTCGTACAAGCCCGCAGTGAACTCCGGGCACGAACTCGCTGAAATTGCCCTCGGGCAAGAGGCCTCTTTTAGGAAAAGGGCTCTTCTCGGGTTTTCCCACGAACCCAAAAGACAGAGGGGCCACGTAGGAAGCCTTTTCTAGCAGGATCTTAGGGGAGACGCGACGTCAGTCTCCTTCAGAAAAGGAGGACGAGGACGAGGGGAACTAGTCAAGAGCAAAACGAACGAGAGAGAAAACGACACTTAGCTGGGAAGGGAAGAGTTGGGGAAAGCTAACCGTCCGGCGAGGGGGAGAAGAGCTTAAGGCGAACACACGTGGGAAGGAAGAGGGGCGCGAGTGAAAAATACGCGGGGAGAAAAGGCTCCTACAAGCCCGAAGCTCCAGAAGTTCAGGAACGGAAGTGCTATTTGGATTGCAAAGAGGAATCTACAGCAACCCAGGCTTCGAGAGCTTCCCCGACGGGTTTCCACCCGCTCCCGCAAAACTTACCGCTCTCCGACTAGAGTCCCACCCTAGCTGTGTAATACAGCTCGCTCACCTGGCCCAGGTACTGCAGCTACCGGATCCGCCCCTTCAGGTCGCGTAGGGAAGAGAAGGAGGGCCGAGCTTCCAAGGGGAGTGGACGGGAAAAGGGAGTAAATGGCAAAGTGCGGGGGAGATTAAAATGAAACGGAAGCGCTCGGTTCGGTAGCAGAGTTGGCTTGACAGTTAGGAGTAACATTCATATAATAAGAGTTCCTTTGGGTGTCCTTAGCGGGTTTTTTTTTGTCTTGCCTCTTCATTAGCTCAAGGAATCACCGCTTCCTTCCTTTGCCTTCTCTCTTGCGGATTTATCACTGAGAAGACTTGAATCAAACTCCATCGTATGCAGAGATTGCAGGACACCATGACTTAGAAGTATGGCATTGGAAGGTATCTCACAAGCCCCAAATTGGGAAGGCTTCTTAGATTGTTTGAAACTACTGTTCCTTTAAAAAAAAAAAACCCTCTCCAGACATTTTCCATGGGAACAAGCTAGTGTAACTGGTCTAACCTGTATGCTACCCCCCACCCCCACCCTAATGCCAGGATGTTTCATACGATTTTGCCTTGGAGGTTGCACATTCGATTTGAGTCAACTGGTGATACTACTTTTACTTGGCATTGCTTTGATCCCATTTCAGTTTCCTTGAAAGTAAATTGTAGTATGATTATTGGAAGCAGATGCTTGCAAAATAATCCTGTAATAGTTTCCCTACAATGTTAGGATGGCAGTACAACCTAAGGTCAGGTATTTAAAGCTTCCAAGTGACCGTTAATATAATTAGGCAGGATGCCCTGCTCCTGAATATAGAAGTTTCACTCACAAGACTTTAATTGTAGGCCACCATGCTTTTTTAAAAATATGTATAAAAATGTTTCATATACATCAATAAAAGCTATATCACCTTCTTACAGCTCTTTTGAAAGTCACTTTTAAAGACCTTATATGCAGTTCCTGGAAATTTCATGTTTATATCTTTATTGCTTCTTAGGTAGTTTCTATCCCTGTATCTTTTGACAGCAAATTCTAAAAATGATTTTAATGCATCAGTTTGAATTCTAGTATCAATCTATTATATTGCTACCAGCATTGTATTGTATTGTTATTATATTGTTATTAGACCAACTTATATTTAACTCAAATATGCAAATTAAAATAATGTGACATCTGCAAATGAAGAATAAAAGAACATGTTTCCCATCCTCACCAAAAGACTTTAAAAAGTTTTGTAAAAAAGAATCATCTTTAAATCAAGCAAATGATATCTGATATTCTAAACTGTCTAGACCAGTGATGGTGAACCTTTTTGTTGTGTGCCGAAAGTGTGTGTGTGCATGCCATCACCCACAATGCAATGAGCTCTCTCCCCTGCACATGTGCGCATGCACGTGCCTCCCAGCTGATTTTCAGCCCATTTGAGGCCGAAAAAGGGGCCTGTTTCGGCACTTCCAGTTTCGGCATTTCCAATATTTCTGGAAGACCCATTTTTGCCCTCCAAAGGCTGCAGAGGCTTCCCTCAAGCCCTCGGGAGGGTGAAAAAGGCCTCTAACGGGCCGAAAATCAATTGGGAGGCACGCATGCGCAGTGCAAGTAAGTTTGGCTGGGGCTCGCATGCCCGCACAAATGGCTCTGCATGCCACTGTGGCACGCATGCATAGGTTCGCCATCACGGGCCTAGACTGTTAAAAATTATTTAATGGTTTATTATTTTCTCTAGGTTTCACCATTCTAAATAATTGATGGTCATTATGTCATATGTCAGCTTGGCTTCCCCCCTGCATATCTCTTATGACATATTGTTAATGAATATGTGCAGTAAATTGATCTGTGGCTGGTTCCCTTTTATTAGAAGAATTGTCTTTATTCTTGATGGCATTCCAAAATCTGTTGGGATAGACTTTTTCAGGATTTATGAAAAGTAAGTCTCAATCTCTTAGGAGTATACCTATGACCTAGCAATAAATCTATTTCGGGAAATTCAAACCCCTAGTTCTAAAGCTAGCAACACAAAGAATCAAGGTCAAAGCTCAGTTAGATAAGTTTCTTTTATTCCAGATAAAAAACACTCCAGAAATAAAGTAAGTCAGCTACTCTATAATGACTGTTTCTATGTATAAGAGCCCATCATTTAAATAGCTTTTCTTATTCCATCATATGAGTGGTAATATACTCTTTGTCAGGACTTTCCCTGTGAATGAGGAGGAACTCATGCCCTATTTATAATGATCTTATTTAATTACAGGCTCTTTGCTTCTTTCTTCAACTCTCTCATCTTCTCAAACTGGGAAAGTGAGTTGGGTGCTATTCAAAACCTGTATGCAGTAAAGCAATTGTGAAAAGTTCAAGTCTTAGCAAAAGAAATCTAATGATACTGTTCTTCCCCAAAATAGCTTTTCCATTGGATGTGTAGTTTTTAGAGGGATTTACATAAATCAAAGCAAAATGACAAAAGCAGTATTGTGCCAGCCTACTCAAACTTTGCCCCTTTGATATATATGGGAAGAGTCAAAAGAGGAAGAGCTACAATACATATTGTTTTTGTCTGACTCCTGGCAGATACTATACCTCTCCCACTTTTAAACTTTCCTTCTGTTTTCTTTTTCCTTTATGACATTTTACATCATTTTGGTCATTTCTGTATGTTCATAGATTTGCTTAGGTGATACAGATAAGGCAACCAATCAGTTTACTAGCAATATGGTTATAGAAATTTTCTTTCCAAGCTCTCTTCTCAAGGGTCTGAACCTACCCGGGCTTCTTTTAACACTTGTTTACTATAGTCTCTAAAAATCCCTCAAATTTAACTGTGAACTGTTGGAATATCTTTTGAGTCTGGCTGGGCACACAGGGCTCATTTTGAATTCTGCCCTAGATAAGCCAATCCAGACATACATCAGCCTGTTTAGCCACTGATCTTTTTCAGTGGGTCATCCACAACTGTGGCTTCTTCAGTAGACAATTGCCACTGGATATCTTTGGAGGTCTTGCCACAGGGGTCTCTTGGTAGGCCACATACTTCCCACACAGTAGCTTTGTGATTGACTTACCTACCTACTAGAACGTTTCCTTAAGTCTCTCCTATTGGATGGCTTTTGGCTAACCACACCAAGTCAATTAACAGACTACCTTCATTGCTGGAGCATTCCTAGTCTGCTTCATTCCTGGTTGGACTTTTTGTGTCCTTACTACTGTTTTTATTTGGTGCAGTTGCTAGACCTTCCACACACTTAACTATTGTTTTATTTCTGTTAGTGGGCACTCAGCTTTCAGCTCTCCAAATCAAACACTTCCTAGCTCTTTTGATAAGAAACTTCAATATGTCATTCCAACCAGTTCAAATTGTAAACAAAACTCTCTCCTGTATGGATATCTGTACTCTCTTTTGTCTCTCATCTTTTCATTCATTCATTTATTCATTCATCCATCCATTCAGTCAGTCATTCTTTTTCATTCACACACAATTGGACAATAGTTGTGTGTTGTTACTTGCACAACTGCATCAGTATCAACTGGTGTGTCACTGGGAAGAAAGAGCTTGCAAGATATTTCTTTCCAGCTAGAGCAGATTCTTTCTTCCAAAAAGTATCATGCATCATGATAAGTTATAATGTGACTTGCTTACCAAGTTTGTGGATTAGGATATAATATGAATCCAACCAACTCTAGTTTACTCAGGCTTTACACAGAATGTGAAACCAACCAGTAAAGAGGCAAACTCATATCAGTCCCAGGCTAAATAGTATTTCTCTGTTCCTCTGTAGCATGGGTGTTAAACTCACCATGTGACATTTTGCAATGTTTTTCCCATTCATGGAGCTGGTGATGCATCCGGCCCATGGGCCGCCAGTTTAACACCCTTGTACTAACCATAGGTTCAGCATACTGGGTTTTTTCAAAGCTCATTAGAGATACTCTAGAGCAGCGGTGGCTAACCTTTTTCGGTTCCGATGCTGATAATTGTGTGCTCGCTCGCTTGCACATGCTCGCATGCCAGCACCCAGAAGGCAATGCATGCTGGGCCTCCCCTATGCCTCCTGAGCATGTACGCGATTCCCCCCTCGCGTACTGCACGTCTGTGCATGCACGCATACTGCACATCTGTGCATGCGTGTACGATTCCCCTCTCGCATGCAGCACATATGCGCATGCATGTGCGATCCCCTCGCAGCAGCGCGTCCCTGCACATGCGCGTGCATCTTCCGTGCATCCCCCTCCACCCCCTGCACATGTGCGCCAGATACCCAACAATTAGCTTACGGGCAGCAGCATGCACAAGCATACACAGTGGGGCACTTCCGGGTGAACACTCATGTGCCGGGGGAAATGGCTCTGCGTGCCACTTCCAGCACGCAGGGCATAGGTTCACCAGCATGGCTCTAGAGTAACGCATACAGTTGAAATGCAATTGTAAGTATTCAGTATTCTGTTTTACAGTAGGATTGTTTTTTTAAAAAAACATGTATACATTGCAGTATTTCAAAGTAAGGGGACAGCTTAAGTAGTCATTTCAAAATGTGGCAATCCCTATGGACTTTGATGAAATATGATTAAAATTTCAGGAAAGACTGGCTTTATAGATGATACCATTGAATTCTAGTTTACTAAATAAGCTACAATTAGCTGGCTCATACAAGTAAGTCAAAACCAACCAACATCTTACAGCTTAACGTTGTACCTTCTTGCTTCCTTGCTTCTATTGTGTCAGTATTCCTGTATGACCACTATACTTGGTAATCTTTTTTCAATAAATATAAAACTTCCTTTTAAAATTTTTTATTATGTTTCATTATAAGATAAAGTGTAGAAGAAACAAAACTTAGAAAAATAAGAAAAAGAAATGCATACATTTTTGACAATTTCATAGGCATGAAATACCAACAATACAGCAGCTTATAAAAGTTTTCTTTCAAACTATAATTCAATGTGAATTAGTCCATTATTCCACATGTTTTCCCATTGGTCAATCATTATAATCATTATAACCAAAATTCATTGTCCATTGGACAATATAGTCTTTAACATGTTCATTTTCCAAATTCA